CGGAGAGTGACGACCAATGCATCATTGTGAGGGCAGTATATCCTTTCCAAGTCTCTATCTGAAAAAGATATGACGTTCGTGGCGTCTGTCCTTCCCTTTTTGTTGTTAGGTTGGGCGCTTAGTACTTCCCTTAAGTGCTCAGCCTTCTTTATTATGCCCCTGAGCTCGCATACGCGCTCAGGTTCGCATACCCCATGGATTACGTTGATCACGCCTTGAGGTGGGGCATCGATTGGCATTCCGTTTGGGTGGTTGTCATTCTAGGGGGCTGGCTGCGCCCCTCCTTCAATGTACTTGTCCAGGTGACCGGCTACCACCAGCTCCTCTAGGTGTTGTCTCAATGGTGTACAATTTTCAGTGCGGTGCCCCTTTTCTTTATGGAAGGTGCACCGTGATCTTTCGTCGTAGTCCTTCTGGGCCTCTCCTAGCTTGGCAGGCCATTTGACGAAAGGTTCATCGCGTATCTCGCTTAGAATTCGGTAGATTGGCTTTTTGAATACCGTGGTAATGGCAGTGCGGACTCTCAACCATCTTTTATCCTGGTCCTCACCGCTGTCTCTCCTGCCTCGTCCGTTTCTGCTCGGACGGTCTACCGTATTGACCTTTGCTGAGGCTTTTTTCTCTGGTACTGCGGTCGTGCCAAATTTTGTTTTGGCACGAGCACTATCTTCTTCCACCCTGATGTGCTGATGCACTCTTTCTATCAAGGCTTCCATGGTGAGGGGCGGTGTCATAGTGATCGAGTCCCTTAGTTTATTCCCGACTGGAAGGCCTCTTTTGTATTGTGCAATGGCGAGATTGGGTGGACAGTCCCCAATCTGGTTGAATGTCTCCCAGTAGCGACTATTGTAGGATCTAAGTGTCTCCTTTTTGCCCATGTCGATGGAGAGTAGTTGGTCAATCTCCACCGGGGTTTTGGTGTTCGTTCTGAACCTTGTGACGAACGCTTCCGCCAATTGTGCCCAGGAGGCTATGCTGCCTTCTGGAAGTTTTTCGAACCAAGTCAAGCCTAGGTCACCAAGGCTTGATGGAAAGAGGATGCACATCAAAGCCTCGTTTCGCCGATATACTGCCATAACCTGGCGAAAGTGGCTTAGGTGAATGTAGGGGTCCGTCTTCCCTTCGTACGTGGTGAATTTGGGCTGAAGGAAGCCTGACGGTAGGGGCGCGTTTTCAATTGCCAGAACGAACGGCGAGGTCTGTAGCCTCGCTAATGCTTTGTCCGTTGGTTCGTAGGCAGGGCGTGGTAATGGCATTCCGACCTCGACGCTTCCATGCGTTCGAGGAGCCAACCGTTGAAGGGCAAAAACTCTACGAGGGTCGCGCGCCCTGGTGTCCTCCTTCCATCGTGCCTTTTCTTCTAACATAGTCCGCAAGTCGGACGATCTAGGTATCTCCGACTGCCTGGATGATGTCTGATGTGTGCGTGAGGGTTGATAAGTGCTTCCCTCAGTATTCGACCTCTCCGTCCTCGTTCTCTCAGACCTGGAGCAACGAGTCCTGGAGGTTCTAGATTGACTATCGCCTCTCCTGAGGCTTCTACTTCCTACTTGTAACGGTGTGGTATGCCTACCATGGTCTTTTGAGTGGCGAGGGGGCGTCTTGCTTTTGCGCTCCTCTCCTGTCGCCACTTCTTTTCCCTTCATCTGGCGCTTCATAATCTCCATGTCCGCCGCCATCCGTCGTATCAACTCGTCTTGCTCCTCCACGCGGTCCTCCAGAACTTGAGGATCAATCCTCCGCCTTTGCCTGTCAGGACTTTGTGAACGAGAGTGACGGGGGCTGTTAGTCTGCCTCCTCCCCCTTGCATCCCTCCTGGGGTTCTGTCGCTATGGCTCCAAGTCCGCCATAGGAGGGACAGAAGGTAGGCCTTCGCGCCTTGCACCCCCCCTCTGGTGTTTGCCTGTCGACGGCGGACTGCGGTAGATCTTCATTGTGCGCCATTGCTTCTAAAGAGGTAAAGTTTGATCAAGAGGTTTTGTCCTTGTCTGAATTTCCCACAGACGGCGCCAATTGTACGGGAAAGAAATAAACCTTCTTATATAATCCTGTTGATCAAGTTCGTGCTCTTCCGTACGGCGTCGCTTTACTCCCTGAAAACACAAACGTGAGCTAGCCGGCGGGTGTGTGCCGGATACCTCTCCGATGCCTAAGTCAGCCAAACAAATAGCCAAAAGCTCTGTGTATTTGAGAATCAAAGTTGTGTTACCTCTCCATAGGTGATGTTTATGAGTTTTTATAGATTCCCCGTGGCACAATCCTAGTAGAACTTTTACTCCTCCATGTAGAGTCCTTCCAGGATTCACACTCCTGAAAGATAATGCTTATCCTTCAACACCCCCCTCACTGCCTAAACCAAGTGAGATGGTTCTACCATAGTCGGATTCTAATAGGACCGAGGTAAGCAAGGCTATGCTATGCTGAAAGAATAGACCGAACTATCCTTAGTTCGGCTCTTCCAATTACTGCTCATACTCCGGTTCTTCCTGTACAAAACCGTGCTAAGCATAGTACTTGCCTAGACCGTGCTTAACCATTAGCTAGGTCTGACTGAGCTATCTGTACCATCCCATGACCGGTCTACCTTTGGCGACCGAGCTAGATGTAACGACATTCCCCTTAGACCGAAATATCTTTAGGACTTTCGGGGACCGAACTAACCTAAAAAGCCCTATTACGCAGCCTTTCGTATTGTGGCCTATCAACAGCCCATTACCCAGCTCGGCCCAATTTAACTATATAAACTACCCTCTCATTAATAAATCAATTTCCTTCAGCACATTGCTCACTAATTCTTCCACCTCTTCCGCATATTCTTCTTCATATCTTGATACAGAGGTTATTTGCATATGCATTTGTATTTTTAATTTCGCCTAATGTGTTATCTTTGTCTAGCATATAGAATAGAGAAACATATACAATATGTTATTTAAAATTTCGTATTCCTAAAGTTTTCAGCTTTTGCCCGTGTTTATCAAAGTTGCCTTTTCTCAATATTGAGGCTTAAAATTGATTTTTTTTTTTTAAAAAAAAAAAAGAGCCCAAATGAAGGTCAATTTTTTCCTGACAAACTTGGTAAGAATGTAGATAGATCAATACTTCATTTTGTTTATTTAGTCTAACCAATGTATAAGTGCTCTTCCAAAATTTTAAGTAAATTTTGTTGGCAAGCTTGTTATGCCTTGTGTGCTCTATTAGACAAATTGAACAACTGTATTGAACAGCCTTATTTATTTTAATACTTTTAAAAAACAAATCATTTTTGTTTACCTCTCCACTCTGTTTTCTTCAATACTAAATCTTATGCATCCATAATAACAATAATGTTTCTAAAAGTTGCAAGCACAACTGGTACTATAGCATTACTGCTTTATTGCTGATTGAAAAATATGGAAATATATTATATATAAGGCTATAGTTACTAACATTAGGCACTGACGTTTCTTTGTTTTCAGCATTCCAGAAGTAAATATGGACATGCAAACATACTTGCAACAACTTCCTCTCTTCTGCATCTCTCTTATTTTGACTACTTAGTATTTTACAAAACAAAGCATGTGAATACAATTTTTGTTGATACTCAAGATTTTTATTTACATGACTTTTGACTATTCTTAAGTTGGTAACCTTGCATTGATTACGTGTACCAGATGTTAATTAAAGAACATATGTTTCAGCCTCAAACTATTCTCTGTGGTTGGGGTTTTACCTTGTGACTGGTGACTGGCTTAGTGGTATTCATGAATGATTTGTGATATTATCTTAATCTATAACCATTGTGTTGCTCTTTGTTTTGATTAGTAGCTTGCAACTTCTAACTATCATATTATTTCTTTCAAATAACTTAATAAAATGGACTCAAAGCTAGATGTCTCTTTTGTTTTATACTATGTTATTACTTAACATAACATGCCTGGACTTCTAAGTTGGGAAGTAATATTCGTGCACTATTCATAAGTTTCTTCTACTCCCTCTAATGCCAAATTTTTTAATTTTGTTGCCACTTATTGGTTAAGGATGCAACACTGTCTCCAATATGAGCTACACTTTGCTAAAGCTAGCTTTGATTCATGGGCATGGATTATCATGCGAAGCATGACGCCTTGCAACCAGTATGTATATATACATGTTTTTCCCAAAGAGAATGGTTTAAAAGACTTGAATTTGTTTACATTAAAAATAAAAAAAATAAAAAAGTTGCATGCGTGTGCTGCCCATGATCATGAATATATTAATTACCCAAGAAAAAAGATCATGAATATATCTTAAAAATATTTATCCTCATTTATTGATAATTAAACCAAATTTGCTATTTGAATAACTTAATAATAATTATTACAATTATAACTTATATCCTGGAATAATTATTTGATTGTCGTACCAATATAATTAGGAAAATGTTTAAGACCACAAAAAAACCTACCATAATTAGGAAAATGTTTAAAAAATCTCATTTTATATTCGTTTCTCGCATATTTTTGGCCTTGTTTGATTTGTCTCTTGAGGAAAAAAAAATTGAGAAATTTTTTAAAAAATTTGTTTGGTTGAGAATTTGTGGGGAAAAAAAAAAAAAATCTAAAATCACTTTTCTCTTTTCTCCTTCTCTTACATCTTATACATCAATCAATCAGTTTTTCTCTCACACCCATCTATTCAATTATAATAAAAAAAAATTGAATCATCCAAAACTCTAAAACTATTTTAAAATACAGCCAAACAAATTTTCAAATTTTGTAAACTCTTTTCAAAAAATTATTTTTCAAAATTATTTTACAAATACACCAAACATGGCCTTTGTATTCTTACCCATTAAAACATCATAATAATAATAATTAAAAAAACACAATCATTTACCAAGACCATAATTATTTTTAATAAGATTTCCAATTCAAAAAATCCAAAAAACAAAACCAATTAAACTAAGGCAACAATTTTTGTTTTAAAAATCCAAAAAAAATATTTATAATATAATTTTTTTTCATTGTATATAATCCAATTACCATAAACTAAACCCTAAACCTCGAAAGCCCATTCATGCTCATTCTAAATTGCTGCCTCTTCCTCCGGAGTGAAATCATTCTCAATATTGAATATCTTCCTCACGTCATTCGACATCAAATCCTTGATCTGATCTGCAATTCGTTGACAAATCAACTCCAATAAGCCCTTCACATCGAGGTAATTTACGGCTGAGACAAGTTTGATGAGCACACCCAAGTCTTTCTTCGCTACGAACTCTGAATCAAACTTTTTTAGATCGGCTTCTTTGGAGATCTTCTTCGAATTCACGTGCTTTGAACAGTAATCGATCGCCATTGTTAGGGTTTCGTTGTCCACGTTTGGGAGTAGAATTGTTGTGGTTGTGGATTCTTCGTCCTCAATTATACGGTTAATTGTTTCAAATTGGATCGCAATTGACTCTTTTACGGTGAATTCTTTGTTGTCGGAGCTTTGCAATGTGAAACTCTTCTCTAAAGATGAAGATCGAGAAGATGATGAAGACGTAGACATAGTGTATCTTTGATTGCACGTTGTTGGGATTTTACACCGAGCTTGGAAATATTAGGGTTTGTGTGGACACTGCAGAACCATGAATTCTATATATAGAGGGCTTTCCTTGGTGAAGTAACCTAAATAAATTAGAAAATTGAGGCACTGTTTGGCATGTGCTATTTTAGTATATTATCTTATTTGAGTCACAATCATCTCATTTGGGTCACGTCACCTTATCACATCCCTTCAAACCAAACTCATATTTCACGTTTTTTCATAAAAAATTCAAAAAATATACTAATTTAGCACATGTCAAACCCGTTCTAAATTATTGTGTATGTCAATTTCCGACCACACTGCCAAACAAGTACTCAGCTGGAGAACACTGACAGAATAGATTAAGCCAGAACGACCTGTCAACAAAAAGAAAAGATTCCGACGGTGGTCCACCCAGGGGCACTCTGACGATCAAGTTAGTTATCTCTCAAAGATAGCAAAAGTGCTTAACTCACTATTCAGAATATCAAAAGCGTATTTTAGACCCACGAGAGTGCCTCTCTTTTATAGCCAACACTGACCTAATCCCAATAGAAGCCTAACTTCAATGGTCTCTAGATTACTGCTAATTTTGGACTCCCAGTAAGATTGGGATAAACTCTCTAAAAGTCTTATCTTTATCCAAACTAAAGTCCTCGCTTATTCTAGGACTCTTGCCCCTTATCTACTTATCCCGGATTCCGGTATCTTCGCAGATAATCTCGGTCTATCCGAGATAATCTCGGCGTCATGACCAGGACACGTTACATCTCGGCTGGCATTTCTGTGCCACCTCGGCCACGTGTTGTCACTCAAAAATTATGTCCCCACAACTGCCCCATAGGTTCTATTATCTCGGCATCCTGAGGTGATGGAACCTATATCGTTTCTTCCATTTAGCACGTCGACTAAGCTTGCCTTGTCCTTCATTACCGAGGTCACCATTCATCGGCTCAATACGACCAAGACTTAGTCGGTTTTCATCAATGCTTCAAAACCAATAACCAAGTTTGTTCAAATTTCCCAGCCGAGATCGTCCCCCTAGTCGAGGTCCTGCTCTATTAAATCAAGAACTCCAAGAGTTTCAACACGCGTATGAGCTGTCACACACAGTATTTCAACCATTTCAGCCACGCGTCCTTCCCCCACTGAGCCGTGTCTGACACGCGCCATCAAGTCGCATCGCACTCGCGTGCGCCGTCTGACAAACACGTCGTCCTAGGCACCATAATTGCCATTTTGCTGCCATTTCATGCATTTGATCAAAATCACTTCTCTCTCTCCGTCTTTTCACTTCTTTACCACCGTTTTCGTGCAAGTTCTCTCTCTCTCTCTACTCTCCCAAATCCGCCATTGTTTCAAGCTCTCAAGCTTTGCAACCACTTCCATTCTTCCCCTTTGGCGAAGCTTTTGCTAATCTTCTCCGATTGTTGCCATCATTTAACTCCGGCGTACTCAATACCGGCTTCATTCTTCTTCGGTGAGTCACTATTTCCTCTTTAACAATCTGTGTTTTTCTTTTAAAAAAAAAACTTCACTATACTACTCATTGCCATTGCCATTTTGTTCACGTTCTTAATTATAAATCTGTGCGTATGAATTTAATCATGTATCTGAGCATGTTTATTTTATGATTTTGCTTTTGCCCAATCCGTTTCTTGAATATACACACACTGTTTACCCACTTGTTATTTTTGCCACTGTTCTTGGCCTCACACTCTTGTACACACTTTGTCACTGTGTTCTTGATAGTGCATCACTATACCTGATTCTGAATCTTTGCTCTTGTTTCTGTTTTCTGTGTTTTCTCCAGATTCCTGACTTCAATTCTTGTCTCCATAGTCTTATTTTTGGGATTTGTTGTAGAACCCACGAATTTTAGGATAAAACTGAAACAAACTTCACTTAGATCTTCAAAATTTCTTGCCCCATCATTCTTCTAGGTTTTGCCGAGGTCCCTCCAACCTTTACAAAACACACCCTTTTGAAATCCAACACCTTCCCCCCAAGCTGACATCATGGGTATGTGGAGGCATAGGGTAGACACCCTAACTAAGTTAGAATACTTTAGGCAGGAGTTTTCCATCCCGGCTGACGTTTACCTTAGGTTGGCTGGGGAGGACGATGCCATCATGCCCACAGTTGGCTCCATGCCCTTCCCAATTGTAGCTTTCATAGAGTGTGGACTTAGGCTTCCTCTCGACATCCTTTTCCGAGAAGTCCTTCACTACTATAAACTTAACCCAATGCAATTAGCCATTAACTCCTACAGAGTCATCAATGGTATCATAGCCCTAGCTAGCCAAGAAAATGCTAGGGTAACTTTAGCCGACATACAATACTGTTACACTATGTGTGGCCTTAAGTTAGAAAAAGGCTACATTTACTACTTTAAGTTGAGGTCCACAAAATACAAACTCGTTGCCGACCTCCCAGACTCCAACAAGGGAGCTGGGGACGATTACCTCATTGTTTCAGGCAACTGGGAGTTCGTTCCAGACGAGGACCTTCACCTCTACCCTCTTAGCCGTACATTATTCAAAGAGGGAGATGGTAAGAACCAAGTGTTACATTTACTTGCTTTCAAGTCTTTAATACTTTGCTCCTTCTATATGTTCCGACGTTTGTTTTTTCTTGCAGTTTTTCCACAGCCACCCAAGGACTTTCGCAAGTCATTCTTTCCTAGCAAGGACCTCAAAAAGCTATTGGATTTGCCAGTTGAGCGGCGGAGAGCTCCTTTGCTGCTCAACTTCATCCCGACTTACAAGTCGGGGCTTTCCGACGTCCCAAAGAAGAAGAAAAACAAGTCTCCCCCTTCTGCCATAACTCTTCCAACAGTTTCATCACCTCGGCCAGATCAGGGATTAACCTCCAATCTAGCAGAGCAACCGTCGACCTTGGCTCCACAACTGATCCCTTCATCCCAACGTAAACGTCGACGTCGAACTGTCATTACTGCCGAGATGGGTCGCAAGAAAGCTGTTGTAGACGACCTCCTTACCGACATCCCCAACACTGTCACCACATAACCTTCTCCATCCCAGTCTCAACCAAAACCAAAACCCAAAAGACTGAAGAAGGCCCAACCTAAGGCAACGGTGACTCAGATCGACTCTGAGGATACCTTGCCGATCTCCAAAATTGTCGAGGCAGAAAAGAGTGCCTCCGCAGTTGAAAAAAGGCATGCCGAGGCTGCACCCTCTGAATCAACCAGGTCAAAGAGACCGAGGTCCGAGTCGGCAACAATCTTGGGCTCTCTGAAGTCCGATGCCCCCTGGGCCCCCCCAATCACAATTGAAGACAAGCCGGTCAGAGCTAGTGACAGTGCCGACGACATTGAAGTCGGCGTTGCCCTCTCTACCGCCTTGCTCTTTCCCAATGATCTCAATCGCCGAGATGAGTGAGTACGAAAAATTTGCTTTGATGTTGCAACGCTCAGTACAAGTAAGCCCTTAACACATGGTAATTTTTTATTTTTTGCTATTTCATACTTAGAGAGTTTTACTAACTTATTTTTTCCATTTCTTCTAGGCGATCCAGCATGGCCACTCCTTCGCGATGCAAGCCTTTGCCATCAAGAAGGAGTTGGCCAACAAGACCAGGGAGGCTGCTGGCTTGCAGAAGACCATCAACAGGGCTGAGGCAAAGATGAAAACCTTGACAGATCAGGCCGAGGTAGCCAAGAAAGCTCAGGATGAGGCCGAGGAAAAGATTGATGCTGCAGAGGCCATTGCCAAGGTTCTTGCGGCCGAAAAGAAAGAGGCTGAGGCAACGATGGTCGAGGCCTAAAAAGAGCTTCAAGATGCCCTAGCCATGAAAGAGGCCGAGATCAAAGCGGCAGATGAGAAAGCGTATACCGAGGGGGCAACCGACGTCAAGGAAGATTACAAGAAACAAGTGAAGCAGGCATGCAATAAGGGTTTCTCCTAAAAGAGTTGGCTGTCCTCGAGGACTCTCCCCTCAAGAACGACGGCAACCTCGTCCTATCATTCCCTCCATCTCCAAGCTAGTCCGACACGAAACTGAGTCTGAGGATCAGGCTAAGGCCGAGAAGAAAGAAGAGGTTGTTGGGGCCAAGTTCCCAACTTTGAATGAGCAAGTCTTGGACTTGACTCAGGATGAGGAAGACGAGGTCTCAAAAGAAGCCATCCCCGAGAAGACAACATCTGACGCGCCTATCGCCGAGAAGAGCATCGACCAAACTCTCTAAGAGATTGATGCCGAGCTCGCGGCTGAGAAGGCTGCCGAGAAGAGTTCTCAGATGTCTTCCAAGCCCCAAACTGATGCTGATGCCGAATTGTCTAGTCTTCATATTTTTCCTTTGTAATGTAAGCTTTAATTTAGCCGACGTGCCAGTTTTGTAATCTGAACAACTATCCTTCAATGTCAGGCCGAAGTGCCTTTTTTCCTTATCTGAATGCACTCTCAAGTTTCTTCTTTCAATGTGATTGTATGTCTGTCTTCCTTTTACTATCTTGTATGATTCTCGGTGTGGAATACTTCGGTTATTCCTGCTAAGAGTTTATTTCGGCAAGTACATAGGTACTTCTTTCAATACAATCTTGGCTTAACTTGTAATTTTTTTCTTAAAAATTTCAACAAGTGTTTAAACCAATCTTCCTTTAACATAACCTCAGATTCATTTCAACTAGTAAATTTTTCATAAAATTTCAACAAGTGTTAAACATGACCTCGGTTTAACTTCAACTTGTAAATTTTTCATAAATTTCAACAAGTGTTAAAACCAATTTTAGCTTGTAAATTCCACCTTCCAAGTACCATTCTCCAACTCTTTGCCCCTTAATGTGAACTTAAGTTTCACTTGGGTTCTCATTAAGCATGTGGCTTTGACCTCGTTGCCGAGGTGATATTCAAATAAAGACTGGCCGAGGTTACCAACCTTGGTCTCTAACTTAATTTCAACAACATCGCCATGTTACTGATCAGTCATACTACACAAGTTGAAAAAATCAAGCTAAGACTTTATTATTACTTCGGCTAATAACAAGAAAATTAAAAAACAAAA